AAAAAAAAACAACAAAAAAACAAGAAAGTGCCCTCGATAAATGTTTAATATCAAGTTCACGCTTATAGCAATTGTTAGGAAAATAAAATTTATACATATTTAAACCTGTGTTTTATTCAAATCTTTCAAGACTTTAAATTCAAATGGGTGAAGCAAAAATAGGGCTGGTTGGCATGATTTTGCTGCACCATTATTTCAGTATAATAATTGAAGCGATTAGAAGCAAAACCGGCTAAGTGCAATATTTTGCAAAACGAACATAAGTGTTAATTCGTGTTTTCTATATTTGCTACATTTTGGTAGTAAAATCGCCCAGGTAAAAATCAGTCCCAATATAAAGGAATCTCGCCAGACGTTTGGAGCCGAAAACGCCTGAGTGGCACTTGGGTTGATTTGCTGCTGAATGTATTTTCGTTCGAATATTACAACATCTAATCACAGTGATTAATTATATTATAATTTTCATTTATTATGTCTCCTGGATCAGGTAAACAAAATAAATTGACAGGTATAAAAAATATTGGAATTTTCAGACAACGATAGGATACTTGTTCAGACTCAGAAACAAATCCATACGCTATGGACGAGGAACCTGATTTAATATGAAGTGAAGATGAGAAAAGATAGGAGTGATAATTCCATATCACATAACGAAGCTTCTAGTAGTAGTAGCTAGCTCGGTGAGTAAAGTTTAAGGATCAGAACGCAAGGTGACGTAAGGTGAATTTTCTATGTAAGTAGCCCATAGACAAATCCGAAAAAGAGCAATCAATATTAACGAATGGACAATAAATGTACTAAAGAAAAATAGGTCTTCTGGTTAAGAATATAAAAGCAAACAGAAAAATAAAAGAAAGAAAATCGTTCAGGAGTATGAACACACATGCCGATACTAATGTAGAATTTACAAGGGATGAGATACAACGCCTTTCTTCTAAGTTGTACAGTTTACCAACTTATGACTCATAAACAAAATTTTCAACTTTAGCCATAAAAAACCTAAAAGGCGGCTAGCATTAGATTTTGTATCCATTTCAAAATATTTAGACACACATATTAAGGATCCAAAAAAGGAGACAAAATCAATTCATATTTTTTTCATACAATAAAAACCAAAACATCAGCTTTCCTTAAAAAAACTTTGGATCAGGACCTTTCATTTTTTGTTTTGTTTATTTTTTTCATCTTGTTTAAAAATGTATTTTTTTTTATTTCTGGAATAGTAGTTAAGTTTTTGTACTTAGTATGAATCGTTCTATAACACAAACTAATTTAATTCATAAGCTCAAAGTTTTCCATTGTAAGAAAACTTTCAAGAGTAATTTCTCTGAATAAACCTTTTGTGACTTAGGCGGTTTTGCTCCTTCAATTATTTTCAGTTGATCGCAATAATGACATGAATGAAAAACATGGCATTAATTGGAAAGATCGGCTTAGAAGCTAAAATATTATCGTCGTGTGATCAATTAATTGGTTTATAAAATATTCAGATCAGATCTGGCATCATTTATATGAAAAACGAAGAAATCTTAAAAATGAATGCAGAACTTGCCCCAATTAATAAAATACACCATGATGCTCTTTCTTTTCCTACCAAATGATCTAAAACGTGCCTTTTAAGTAAGTATGTTTCGTGAGAATATATTTGCAAGATAAAATAGAAACTTAAAAGTATCTCAGGACTGTTTGCAATGACCTGGCAGAGTTAATCATAACTCAGCCAGAAAATAATGATAAAGAACTTACCGCTTCTCTTTTTTGAAACTTCTCTTCTTTCTCCTTCCGGCGCACTTCAATGAGATGTTCGTTGAAAAGGCTTTCGCGTTCACGCATCTTATCAACGCCCTTAAATCGCTCATCTTTTGCGTATTTTTGTGCAAAATCGCTAAAGGAAGATCTGAAATCGACAAAGACATCTAATTAATTTACAATACTTCGCTTTATTTATGATGAGAATTACGTACTTTCCATGCAAATGCGATTCACTCAATAGCTTCTTAAACGACTCTTTCTTCTCCCGCAATTTGTTCCGCTTCTCTCTCCTTTCTTCTTCGGCCCTTTCTTTGACATATCTTTCAAAAACTTGTTTCCGCTCTTTCGAAGTTAAAAGCAGATACCTAGATCAGCAGAAAGTTATGTTCACGTAAGTATATTAATTTTAACGTTTAATAATTTGATCTCACCTAGAATCGAACACAATTTTATGCAATTCTTTTTCCCAAGTACTGAAAGCAGACACCTGCTTCTCTGCTAACATTTCCTTGAACAGAGTTATCCTGGTGTCGAGAGGAATAACGGCTCTTTCTTTAGCAGCTCTCACTTCAGCTTCAATAGCAGCCTCTTTGCCAATGTCGATTTTCTTGGTGGGGGGAGTACCATTAGAAGCTAAAAAATCTTACAATTAAGCAATCAGGTGGAAATAGGATAAAAGATTCGTCTTACTTGTAAGATCAATGTCAATTTTCGTTTTTTTTGCAGGAATCTCATTGTCGCTGTCGCTATCATCAGACGATCTTTTTGCTTTAACGGGAGTCTTAGCTTCTAGAGCCTCTCCTTTGCTGGCAGATGACGCCAAAGCATCTGGGGGCGTAGATACCATCTTATCAACATCCGTTCGCTTGAGCAATTCCTCTGGTCTTTCCCATACAGAGGTGCGAGAAGAAGGGTTGTAGAAAAATACACGACCATCTCCAGTCCACACCACACACCTTAAAAGTACAAATACGATGAATTGGAATCGAGTTACAAGTGGATGAGAAACTTACCATGGTGTTCCTGGAACAGGTGTGCTAGATACAGGGCGCGATTTGTCCTGGGCTTTCTTTTCTTTTTCCTTCTCTTCTTCCTCCTTCTTCTTCCTAATCTCCTCTTGAAGTTTATCCAGTTTTTCTTTCGCTTCAGCTTCCTTATCCTTTGGGCTGTTAACCTTCATAGACTCACCATTTTCCTGCGAACTAGATGTCTTACCTGAATCTAGTGTCATTTGTAAATAACCGTCATCTTTTGGACGGGTGGAAATTCCTTGTGCCGCGGCCAGTTTGGCATCTATAAGAACCGAAAACATTATATTCTTTCGATAATTTTACCCAAAAGGTAAACGTACTTTCTAAATCTTTCAAGGCCTGGGGCTTTTCCCATACGGATTCGCCTTTCTTAGCATGATGATAATAATATCGTCCGTCAGGTGCTTTATGTTCCGTCCATTCTCTAGCTTTTGCAATTATAGCAGGATCAATTTTTGACAAAATTTCCGCCTCATTAATTGCGGGCAAGGCACTTGGAATACTTACTGCAACTGAAAATTTATTTTATAAAAACCAACATTCCACTCACGTGAAACGGTGAACGTCCCACTCCGGTGAAAAAGCGGGCACTTTTCGCCTTGTATTAGGACGTGCAAATGCCCATGACATTAATATTGTAACAAATTCATCAGGAAGTACAGATACTATGCTTGATTCAATAAGTTGACTCTCATAGCCTTGAATACAAATTTTATTGCTTGAGAAAAAAGCGAGAAAATCGATTTACACGCTTTAAATCAAAAAATACACTTCATGTGTTCACTCTCAAATGTTTCTATTTAATAATAAATATAAATAATAATTCGATTTCTGGGATCTTTGAAGTTGTACCCACGTGTGGTCGTTTACGTTGTGGCATTGTCAATAATTTTTCATTAATTTGTATTGGCTGTCCTATACATACACATACTTATGCTATGCACGTGCTATGCATCAATCATTCAAATATTCTCATTTGCTGCTTACACTTACCGGGAGGCATAAGCCCTGGAGGCATTCCCCATGGAGTGGCTCCTGGGGGCATCCAGCTTGGTGGACCTTGGCCCGGGGGTGGTAAGCCAAACGGAGGCATTCCAAATGGAGGAAACCCTCCTGGAGGTGGGCCATAAGGCATTCCTCCATGACCCATCATCGACGGAGGTGGTCCCATATTAACTTGGTTGTTAAGTTCTTTTTTCTGCTCTTCGCTCTCTGAATAAAAACAATGCTTATAGCACACAACCTACAAGGCCTAATTCAATTGTAATCACCTTTGCTTTCAGGTTTATTAGTTATGCTGGCTTGTGCAAGAGCTGCCTGTGCAGCAGTTGACGTATTTTGAGGTTGCGTATTAGTGCTAGCTGCTTGCGCCATTGCCTCAACTTGATCCTATTAAGATTAAAATTACAATACATTTAACGCCACGAATCTTCCCAATATTTTTAAATTTTAAATAAATTATAAAAATGATTTACCTGGGTAATGACTTTAATATTGGGACCTTCGGGTTTGGTCCAAGTCGTTTCCCTCGATCTGGCATTATAATAATAAGATTTCCCTTCGCCAGTTTTAGTTTCTACCCAAATTTCATTTGTTGCATCCAAAGATGGACTCTGCAATAGTTAAATAAAATAAAATATATGCTAATTAAAGAACACATCAGTACGGAATTTGTAAGTTTGATGTTAAGGGTGTCCAAAATAAAATAAGTTGCGTTGATAAATATTAGTTTTTTTCAACTTACCTGTTCGTTTGATCTGGAAGAGCCATCGGGGTATCCTGCAGCACCAGGAACTCCCGGTAATCCACTCATCATTGGAGGTGCCCCAAAAGGAGGCGGTCCACCCATAAGATTTGGGGGTGGGCCCCGGTTCATGCCGGGTGGACCCCAATTGGGACCGTTGTCGCCAAAATTTGGAGGCGGACCATTAAATCCTA